GGTGCATATAAACAAACATTTAGAGAAAATTGACGCGATGTGATTATTTAAAACGCGATGTGACACGTCCTTTTTAATAAGCACAAAAACAATAGAAAACAACATTTTACAAATTTAGAAAAATGTACTCTAAAAAGTAAGATTAACGCGCACCTGATAAATCACGCAACTAGTTAATTGTGATTATTTGTGATTGCATATAAACAGCGCCTTTCCTGGCTTTCCAGTTTTTTTTTCTTTTTCAAAATTAACTTTCTCCATTTATTATTATCATTATTTTTTTTTTTTTTTTTTTTTATTATTAAAAAAAAAATCTTATCATTTTATCAAACCTTAACTATAAACTATGGCTAAAACTTCCACGACTCCTAGAGCCAAAAAGGCTGCCAGTCTTCCCGCTCATCCAAAATATGAAGATATGATTCGAGGTAGCTTTTGTGTGAAGATTTTTTTTCGTTGCGGAATCATTCAAACACCGAAATCGTCGGAGAAACAAAATTTCGATCTGCGAAAATATATAATATTTTGTTTTAAATCAATTTTTGTTTTATATTATTTTGTTTTATAATTTTAGATGCTATTGTCGCCTTGAAGGATCGTAAAGGAAGCAGGTAAATAATAATTTTTGTTTAAAAATTTTTTTATTATTGCGGTTTATTTATTTAATATGTTTGATATCTTTTTTTTAAAATTAGTCGTCAAGCTATCAAAAAATATATTCTTACTTCGTTCAAACTTCCCGATAATACCGTTACGAACAACCGCCTTCGCATCGCTATTAATAAAGGTGTCGAAAAAGGGTTATTTGCTTTCTACAATGGTATGCGTTGTTTATTATTTATTTTATTTTATCTATTTATTATTATAATTTTGAAACGATAATATTAAAATAATATGGTTTTTGTAAATAGGACCAAGCGGAACTATTAAGCTTGTTAAAAAGGAACCGGTAAAGAAAGAAAAGAAGGAAGTCGAGAAAAAGGAAAAACCCAAGGCAGCCGTTAAAAAGGAATCGAAACCCAAAGCTGAAAAGGTAGATGTTATATCTAAATCTTATTAATTAAAATATCATAATTGATTTTTAATCTTTTAGCCTTTTATTGCAGAAAACCAAGAAAGCGGCCCCCAAGAAAACTGCCAAGAAAGCTGTAAAGAAAACGACGAAGAAACCCACAACCAAAACGACCAAACGAGCTAAAGGTACCGCCAAAAAAGCCGGCGCAAGGAAATCCACTACTAGAAGGAGAACTACATCTTAAACGAGATGTCTTCACTATTGAATTATACATTATTATTGAAAATTGATGCAAACGAAATTTCATTATTGGATTATATTATTCGAAAATTGATGTTTTTTTAGATTCTTCTTGTCTTTTTATTCTTTTTTTTTTCTTTTTTTTTCCAACCATTTTATATTTCATATTCGTGTAAATAACTCGCTTTTAATCTTGCTTCAATGAATATTATTAATAATTAGTAGTTTGACACTAAAGTATTGATAATAAACATATATTTTGTTGCTTCAGTTGTATATATCGACATGTGTTTAATTTTCCGAATGGTTTTATATTTATTAAGTTTGCGTAAAAAGTAATATAAAAACAACAGTGCACGGGAATTATCACATTGATATTTGAAAGATAAAATCTCAATTTTAAATTTTTTTTTTTTTATTTGTTTTTAAAATAAAGTTTTTTTTTTTTTGTAAACTTTAAACCAGAATTAGAAAGAATCCTTCTCCCTAAAATTCTCGAAAGACGACAAAAAAAAAAAAAAAAAAAAAAAAAAATCCTGAGGAACAAAAAGAGAAGATAGATGTGCACGTGAAACACTATGTCAAAAGTTCATGAGATTCGTCCACGGCATAAATAAGTGTAAACAGTATTTGGATAACCACTTTATTTGTTAACCCCAATGTAATTTATCGATGAAAAGGGAATGTTTTTAATTGACTTTTTTAATTGGCTTAATACACGTCTCGTTAATCTTAAAGAACAAACGAGGATAAGAAAGAATAACGGTTTGATGATAGATACTTATGTATGATAGATGAT